TTTGAAGAAGTCATTGGGCTTAGAGACTATGTTCAAATGGCAGTGCCGGACAGAGTGAGCATTATTGTGGATCAACAACTACTAATAGAAACAGAAGATGATGAACCAAAACTCCAGCAGTGTTAGAGGCGTGAGAATTGCCTGCATCGTCTCAATTCTGCAGGTTGGGATTTGCTGTTCACACGAGACGCCAACGGATCGCCCGTCAATTGGAGATGCTCTAAAAGTAGTGCAAGCGATTAGAGACAAGTTTCAGAAGCACATCCGCCATGAAAGTCAGTTAGCTGAAGTGTGAATTATTTCTTATGTGTTGTCTCGAATATATGGGCAATATGGTTAAAGCTAGGACACGAGTTGTAATTGATGGTTAAAAGATAAATTTTGGGTCCTACTTTGTTTCCCTATGGGTTGTAACCTTTTTCTACAGATGTTTGGTGACCTGCGGGTAAACCAACTACATGAGTAGTGGAATTTTGCTAAAGCGGCAGACAGTAGTGGCAGGTTGAGATTATTGAGCTTGTGGTGTGCACCAGTTCTTTTTTGGACACTTTAGCGTATGTGCGAAAATTGTACAACAACTTTGGCCAGAACTATCTGTTGTGGCTTATCATCATTACAGTGCACGGAAGCATGAAGCGTCATGAGGATGAGCTATGTAATGTAGGATTCAACCGTAGTGATGCTCCACCCTAAAGTTGGGTAACACGGCAAATTTGAGGCGCCATCATAGGTTAGCAGCAGGTGCAGGCAGGCGCTCCCGTAGAAGTGGCAAATACATACTCTATCGAAGCTGAGTGAGAATCCCATAGCCTAGTGACTGGATGGAACACGGAGAAATCTGCAGATTCCTAGGCGTCCGTTGGCGGCACCGGCATCGGACCAACCACCCATCCGCACTGCGTGATCACGTTTTCACCTGGCTGGGGCAGCTGCAGAGCAGGAACACCTGGTGAAAGGAGACAGGCCTGAGGCCTCGCTGTCCTGGCTGTTCTTATGGGTTTGGGATCCAACAAAACCGGTTAATTTTTTTTAGAGGTTCAAAACCGGTTATTGGATGACAGCGGTGTATTTTGGGTTCCAAATTCTATTACCATACTTACCATATACTCGTGTGTGTATCATTTGGTATGGTTCAGAATCTTGGCGTCTCGCACGTGCTTGCAAGTCAACATGAAGGTTGAGCAGCAATTCGTGTTGATTTTGACGAAACTGGATAATCAATGGAAGGGCATCTAGGAGAAGAGAGTAACTCAGTCGCGGCCTCGCGGGGCTCAGGATGTGGTGGAAGATTGCAAACTGGCCAAAGGAATTTGGATCTCTGGAAGCCTCGGTTCGATTGGCAAGTCCAGATCTGCAATTTTTTGTTGACTAAACTTAATGCATCTTGATCAGTGGCGGAGCTTGCATGAATGCGTAGGGGGGGGGCAATTCGAAGCTACACTGCTATAGTATTTACCAGTAGTAATATAGACAATTAAAATTATGTGGAAAATCTTTGTTTTTTCAAGTTCTATCTATATAGACTGCAATGAACAATTGGAATTCTGTCAAAGAAGAATGAACAATGTGCCGATTTACATACTTATAAACTGTGATCTACTCATCAGCAACAACAAGCATGGTACAAGAGAGGCAGGAATTAATTGCATAAATACAGCGACATATAAACCTCTAGAGTGATACAGCCGGAGCAAGGGGGCTAGGACCTAGTTTGGCCCCCACATAGCTCCGTCCGTGATCTTGATGATCAAATATTACACACTTATTGGCATCAAAATAGATCGTCTCTCTTATTTTCTTCACATTCACATTTTATTACTTATAGTTATCTTACAACTTCTATTAGAGGTATCATGTTTATAGTAAAAGTAGAGAATACAAAAAAAAATATTTTTATGTGTCTATCAGCTTATATGCAAATCTGCATTGTCTAATAATACGGAAGAACCCAGCGTCCTAGCTAATGTTGCACTGGCCTTTGAGCACTGTACATACCTGCATAAGAATCTGTGCAGGCAAACCAAATTAGAAGCAAAGTGCATAACACAGACTTTTGATACGAGGTAAAGCACGCAACCCAGGAGATCGGACCCTGTAATGCGACAGGGTTCAATCATGTACCGTTCCTATTACGAGCGGTTAGGAGAAGAGGCTGGGGACGGCCGTACACGACCCTGGGGCCTGGGCCGCAGTACTATCATTCTCCGAGGGGATGAACCGTGATTGCCGCGGTGGTCCTCCGCCGGCGCTAAAGTTGGGTAAAAAGTGCATGCACGGGCAGCACGTCGTAGGTTAGCAGCGGGGTCAGGCAGGCAAGGCACAAGGCACTCCAGTACCAACTGCAAACAGTAATCTATCTATTCGATCGAATCGAGATGAGAATCCCGTGGCCAGGTGACTGACTGGTTCTGATTCCTGGTCGTCCGTCCGTCGGCGGCACCGGCACCGGCACCGGCACCGGGCCTGCGCACCAACCACGCAGCCGCAGCCGCAGCGCGTGATCGCGTTTTCACCTGGCCGGGGCTGGCAACGGCAGGGGCACCTGGCGAAAATGAGACATGGCCTCCTGAGGCCTCGCTGTCGTGACTGTCGGCGTCCACCACTGGGGAGCACGGAGCAGACTACCTCCAGCCAGTCAGTCAGTCGCGTGTTTCACTCCCCAACCAGGCATCAGGCATCAGGATGCAGGCAGTGCTAAAGCAAATCTCGCTCTCCTCCGTCCTTTTCCCCAGGCCAGCCGGTGCCTGGGAGGGGATGGCGATCGGACACGCACGAGATCCGGCCGCGGGGCCGCCCGGAGATCGGACTGGGACGGACGAATCCTGAATCCTCATCATGGAGAATTGGAGACGGAGTAGCTGCCCATCCCCCATCGGAGAGAATTGGAGATGCCCCGAGCTGCGGCTTTGGCCTTTGGGAGGAAAGACTAAAGAAGTGCGTGGCGTGTGTTATTGTGCTCCACACATGCTGCCTCTTTGGACCTCAGATCAGATCAGCTGAGCTCGCTCGTCGTCATCCAGAAACCAGTCCTATCTGTTGTGGCTTATCATCATTACAGTGCACGGAAGCATGAAGTGTCATGAGGATGAGCTATGTAATGTAGGATTCAACCGTAGTGATGCTCCACCCTAAAGTTGGGTAACACGGCAAATTTGAGGCGTCGTCATAGGTTAGCAGCAGGTGCAGGCAGGCGCTCCCGTACAAATGGCAAATACATACTCTATCGAAGCTGAGTGAGAATCCCATTGCCTAGTGACTGGAGAAATCTGCAGATTCCTGGGCGTCCGTTGGCGGCACCGGCATCGGACCAACCACCCAGCCGCAGTGCGTGATCACGTTTTCACCTGGCTGCAGAGCAGGAGCACCTGGTGAAAGGAGACAGGCCTGAGGCCTCGCTGTCCTGGCTGTTCTTATGGGTTTGGGATCCAACAAAACCGGTTAATTTTTTTTTAAATAAAATACACCGGAGGCTCATTAACTTTCGTTGAGATGTCATCTAGATCTATTAACTTTGAAACTGTATTTTTTGGTCCATTAAATTTCGTTGAGGTGTTATCTAGATCCATCAACTTTTACACTGCATTTTTTGGTCTATAAACTTTTAAAATGATTGTAGTCCATGCTATTTATTTAACTTTAAATCCAACGTGTATGCATGCATGCACGTCGGCTTCGGCTTGTTCAGTTGGGTTCGGCTGCAGCCCGCACGCACGTTCCGCACCAGCAGCGAAGCAATGATGGAACAGGCTGAGATTATTCTAGTGGTGCGTCACAGTATGACTCATGCTTTAGAAACTGGTATACATGTCCAGTGTATGACACCGTACACACTCCTCTGCCCGCGCGAACCCCCCCCCGACTTATCTTCAGGAAAGGGAGGGAGGTCACAGGTCAGGCTCACCCGATCCATCCATCCATCCCCATTTCCTTTCGTTTTCGCCCTCCCTTCCCTCGACGATTTTCACCGGTGCAGTGCAGGCACCATCAGGTGTCAGATGAGATGGGGACACAAACCTCACATGGGGATGGATCGATGCTGGACCCCCACCCCCACAGCCCCACCCAATTTGCAGGCAGTCACTGTCCAGAATGGAAGGAATGATGCCGTGACCCTCGTCAGAGTCGTCCCTCCTCCCAACTCCAATCCCCATTTGCCAATCCGGATGTGGGTCTGCGTCTGCCTCCACACCTCACAGGTTCTAGTTCTAGCCTTCTAGGATAAAAACGCCACACCAGTCACCAGACAACAACTCCCTACTCCTACTTCGCGCAAGAGGCCAGGCGCCAACTGTCAGTAAAAGGAACAGTGACTTTGGACGCTACTACAGATCTGGAAGAAGCGAAGGCGATGTCAGACAGGTTTACAAATGGAGTGCTCATCAGCTCATGCTCTTCAGTGGCAGCGAGTGCTACCAAACTTTGTCCTGGACGCTGCCCCTGATTGGAATGGAGCACGTTTCACTAGCCAATGGACAATGGTTCAACGCACACAGGATGACAGAACAGGACCACCCCCTCCCTGCTGTCTGGTTGGTGCATGCCACAATTGCTCAGAGTAGAACCAAAAACGCCGTCATTGTGTAGCTCTGAAGGAATATGAACAAACCAGGCATGTGCTTGCTGTGTGCTACTAGGCAACATGAGGGCTATTACCTGACCGATCATTGAAGAGCCTGGCTACATTCACAGGATTAGTATTTCTCCATACAAGAACAAAGTTTCAGCATGTATACCAACGTCGGCGCCGTCGGTAGTTTCTACTTAGGAGTTGATGATATCATACGAACAGAATTATTAGATGGTACATAACTTGGACAGCTAAGGCTTGGTCCGCGCTGAACTTCCATTCCAGCTCCATCCATCCCAGGGTCACTAGACCATTGGAAATGCAAAACAACCTCACGGGTCGGGTCGCTGACCAGCCCTCAGCCCTAATCTGAGGGCATATAACTTGCTGCTGCTGCTGCTGCTGCTGCTGCGGGCGCCCTAGGTTCTGATCATCAGAACTCGACCGACCCGACGGACGCAATCCCGGTGCTCAGGCTTCTCGACTCCTGCCTGCTAACGTAGTCGTCACAGCTGTTACCTAGCCTCCGCGCAGGGGCTGAGCTCAGGAGCTCCAGCCCCTGCTTGCCCATTTGCTGCACCTCCTGCGGTGAGAGTATCTTTATGCAGGACACCGTACTCACGAATTCCCTGCGGGTTGGGTTGCAAAAGGGCAGCAATGTGAGGAAGAGTGTGGAAAAGAAACACATGAAAGTGTTCAGGATGCATCATCGAGACGGTCGTGAGAACTTACTGCCAAGGGTCGTCGCCCATGAGAAGGACGTCCTCCTCACGGTCGACGAATACAAGCTGCCAGCCTGATCTCAAAGGGTCTTCCAACTGGCCCTCAAGGCCAAATAGGCGCCCTAGTTCCCTACGGAGCTCATGATAGCTACTAAACCTAGTGATATCAAGCGACCTTCCGTAGGTTCCAGATTTGTAAACCTGTTATTCAAACAGAAGCAAATGTGTAGTAGATTAGTGACAGTGTTGGTAATAATAGATTAGGGAGAAAAAAAAACAGAACTTCTCAGAGACTAGCTTCTTATATCAAGTGCAAACAGGTATACCATTGTTTTCTAATAAAATGCTCTACAAGCTTAATTGCGTGATTATCCATTACATTCAACAGATATAATGGTTAAAACTTGTAGAGCATTAGCAGTGCACAAATTTCAGACAGTTGTGCGCAAATAGTTAAATATTCTGGCAATAACATGTGCAGCACATAAAAAATAAAGTTCAATTCACAAAAGAAACATGGATCCCTTCCCAGTAAAAAAATTACTCACCTTCACGAAGGTCGCTGGTGGTCGGTTCATTTGGTCAGAATTATCTGAACATGGCGGCACATACCCAGAATCATCTAAGCAGCCTGAAGAATTTAGAGTATGATCCAATGGAAAATCATTCTGGGAAGGGCTCAGGAAATTGGAGGTGGAATAAGGTATAGCAGTTGAATCATTCCCATTTTGGAGACCAGGGATGCCTCCTTGCATTAGCAGTGACTGCGAATCTATACTAACACCAAACAAGAGGTGATTTTGAGGATCAGAGTTCACATCTTGATCCACCAAGCATCCTCTTCCAGGAAGTGGTGCCAACGCAGAGCTATGAGGTATACTAGCTGGTGTAGAGTCCAATTGTTCCATCTGGGACGAAACCTGGGGACGAGAAGGAAGCAAAGACTCCACCGCAACTCGCTTCGATGACCATGGGTCGGGGACAGGTATTGCAGTGGGCCTCGGCATACTGAGGTGAGAAACTGCTTCTGATGAGAATGGCCTCAGTGTATTTTGCATGGTGTTGCTGTTGGTGTTGGATGGAGATAATGAGCTCACATTCGTGTCTGTAAAGCTCTGTGCCTGTGAGAATGGTAATATTGTTTGCAGTGACACAGGTGAAGACTGAGAGGCTGACGACAGCTGAGAAAACGCTGATAATGCATTCGATACAGACTGGTAGTTGGTCATGTTCTGTTGTTGCATTTGTTGATGTTGAGGGACTTGCAGACACTGTGATTGCTGCTGCTGCTGTGATTCTTGCTGTTGTTGCTGGGGTTGCAGCTGGGGCTTCTGCTCATTGAATGACTGGCTGCGTTGGAGCTGCTGTTTGAGGAACTCAGACTGACCCTGCGCTTGGATTGTGCTCTCGGAGATGTTTTGAAGGTATGGCTGCTGCTGAAATTGAGGATGTGCTTGCTGCAAAATCTGACTTGAAAGAAGTGGCGCGGCCCGGCCAGCTATGTTCTGTGGCTGCTGGAACTGCAGCATTGTGGGTGATGATACCTGCTTTGTTGGATCCTGGGGAAAGCAGCTGTGGCCATCGCCTGATACATGTCAGGTTGCAGACCAAGTAAGGAAGCATCCAGCCTTGGCTGCATCCAAGGGTTCATACCAAGTCCACCAAAATTTAACGACTGAAAACCAGGATTTGTGGTATCTCGAAGCCACATGAGAGAGTTTGCCAGGTCATCATCCTTCCCACCTACGGATAGACATCACATGAAAGGTTATTGGCGATAGAATGCATATTGCAAAATTATTTAATAAGCTAACATATCTACAAAGGCTAGCTAAACATAACTGCACCTCATACCATACAGAGAAGGCAAGCCTGTTGGCCATGGACGCTTGAGCCTGAGCGGAAAAGGAGATGGATACATTGGGAAAGTTGTCAGTGGCTCAATCTCCCATAGTGACACCCTTGGCTGTCTCTCACCAGCAGTTGATTCATCCCAGCCAACCTATATTCATTCACATGTAAATTTTGTGATCATACAAAACCATGAAGTAGGTATCTGAGAGAACAAACTTTAAGGGAGTACTGTAGTATCGTTTTTTTCAACTGAAAATTTGCAACAGACATGGTTGACAAGGGCTTGTATAGTAAGCAGAGGAAACAAGAGAAGCACAGGTCCAAAATATACCTTAACAGAACGCCAGTGTGAATTTGGCCACCGAACAGAATCAAGATCACTGATTCCGGTAATTGTCCCCATGTATCTGGAATTGAATGTATTTGATCTGATTAGACTGCTAATACCACTTATGACTGCATATACGGTAGTTCAAAGGTATGTTGACATGCGGCCTAAGCCATAGATCTTATTGGCAAATGCAGTAATCCTCAAAACTAGACAAAGGCAATGTGTAGGAAAATGGTAGAGAAAGAAAAATTAAAATGGCAAATGAACTAAGAGGTAAAACATAAAAGGTGAAGTTGCAAACAGATTTGAACTTACCTCCTAACACTAGACTCTTCTGTCTCAAAAAGCATCCTGAAACGCATCCCCACAGATATACGGGTATGATACACAGCCTTAACATACTTTGCAAGCGGTATGACAAACTCTGAAGGGCTTGCCCTGCAAAAGCAAATGTTAAAACATTTGACGGGAAAAACGCCCAAAAAATACGTGATTATACAGGTCCTACCTTGGGTTGTAGAAAATTGTAAACCGGCTATTTGTCGAAGCAGCATGCTTAGCTGCAGCAAGAAGACCGATATGCATGCTATCACTTGATAAGACTGAAGATGGCATGACTGTTTGTGGCCGATTTGCCCGACGAATTCCCAGCAGAAGCTGGTTATTGTCATTCCTGACAACGCAATGAGACATAAAATCAACCAAAAAGAAACTATCTGATTGGAAGGAGAGGAAAAAAAGAGAGAACAAGTGATTGTTAGGAATGCTGGAAGTCTGAACATACCAGATAAAAAGGACAGAGTCACCAGCAACGAGTCTCTTTGCACTTACAAAGACACTCCAGCCTGTAGTTAGAAGATGCCGCTTTGGCTGACCTGCATTAAGGACAGCAGTTCAAAGGTTATGCGACAGCCCCTAGAATGCACAGCAAACACAGTTACAAGGAAAAAATAAAAACTGCTCACCGCGAAAGATGTGACGGAATTTCCACTCGTTTCCATGAAGATCTTTTGCCATCAACTCCTGGCATGGAGGTTGCTGGGTGAAATCCTACATAGTATTTGGCAAATTAAGATCAATCTGTGGAGGAAACATAAATAATGAACTTGAAACATGAGAGAAGTTCACTTTCTGCGACAAAACCAACATAAATAATGAACTTGAAACTTGAGAGAAGTTGCACATACCAGTGGAGGAAACACTTTCTCAGCTGCTCGACGGGGAACAGAGAACCCACCATGGGTACTTGTGTCACTTGCTGTTAATGTTTTGCAAAAATAGTTTGTTGGCTGTTTATTGGCCGAACCTAATTCTGCAGGTAAATATGGGTCCTTCAGTTCTTGCTGCACAAAAAGCAAGCCAAAAATTACTCTTCATAGATAACAAGAGTAGTTTGCATGATATATGACACAAATAGACGGAAACAAATTAGTTTACCGGGTTGAGTGGTTGTAGTGTCATCTGTGCATATACCTCATCTGTCTCTGCATCAGCCTGAAAGAAGGGAAATAACACAGATAATGAAACACAAATCTAAAATTACTCAGCTTAAGGAAAAAGTGTTCCAAGGTCCCAAACTTACATGCATAGTCACATTATGAAGTTGGCATATAAGCTGTGGTGGCAGATTAGGATAATTGGGGATCTGAGACTCCATTTCCTTGTTTGTTGATGCTGCCACCTGCAGCAGAAATTCACCAAAAATAAACTAGTGTAAAAAAGGGAGAATTTTTCGAGTTTTGGAAATACTGGCAGGGGATAATTTGGGGTTTGAAGCTTGACAGCCAAACTGGAAGAGGACATAGGATTCACGGGCATGGTGAGCTTTGGGCACAAACCTGTTCGCTGTGGCCCTGAGGGAAGTACACAACCCGGCTACCCACCGCGGGCAAGGAAACAAGCGGGCCGGCACAGGCATGCCACAACTCCGAGTTCAGACACTTGTGCTCCTCCACAGCTGCAATGGCAGAAGAATTTGTTTTGTTTTGAGAACAAGACTGAATACTGAAATTTCTTCAGGAACAAAATATCAAGGGAGAATGAACTGGTGACATATGCTTATGCCAACAAAAAAAATCTTTCAGAAAGTGGATGGTACAACATAAATTCCAATTCTAAGTGCATAAAATTGAGAATCAAGAAGGTGTATTAACTTACAATAAGTGTCCTTAAACTGGAATGATAAGGGAACTATTTTACATCTTATTAATTTAAAATAACCAACCACTCGAGTGGAAATACATATCAATCTATTCCCGGGAAGGAGAAATATCAAGAAATCAACAGACAGCAAGAACTAATAATAGACAAAAGAAAAAGGGGACCAAAATCGAAAGAAAAAACGGTTCCGAGTTCGTGACAGTAACGCCTTCAAAAGAAATCATCAAAACAAATCCAGATAACCCTCCCAAATCAAACACGTCGCACTGGGTCGCTGCTGCAGGATCACACACACGGCCACAGAGCAGGTTTAAACATTAAAGCGATGCATTTAGGAACAAACAGAAACCAAATAGCAGTCCTACAACTCCAACTGAAACTAATACGGATGAGGAAACAACGAACGGAAAGAGCATTAATTAACGAATGAACAAGACACCAGCAAGAAGTCGAAGTCGGCGCAGCAGAGCAGAGCAGGCGAAGGAGAGTACCTTCCGGCGAGCCCGGCTGAGCCGGGAGGACGCTGCCGGACGACGACGAGAGCCTCATTTTCGCCCGTTGCCGAAGAAGCAGCAACCGGGCCGCCGATCCGATGACGAGGGCGATATAAGAGCAGCCGGCAAAGGAAGGCGAAGAGGAAGGAAAGATTCCTCCTTTTCAGGCCAAATCACAGCGCCTTCCCGAAAACCATTCGCTGCTTTCCCAGTTCCTCCTCGCCAAGTCACCGCGAGAGGGGCAGGCAGGCACAGCCTTCTCTCCACCGGCGCGGCGCCCAAGCAAGCGCGCCGCAATCTTTCCCTTCTATAATCAGAGGAAGGAACACAAAGTTTGTAGCATGTCACTTGCTTGGAAAGGTCGGTCTGGCTGCGATATTTGAGCGGCGGAAATGCGCAGAGCAAAAGGTTACCTTGTCCGGAGCCGAGAGACCCGGCGCTGGCGCCTCGGCCGCCGTCGCCGCTGGGGTCGATCGATCCGAGGAGGCAGGCGCGGCGTCAGATCCCGCGGCCGCGAGGTCTGTCGAGGGCGGTTAGCACCGCGCCGCCCGCGCCCCGGCCGCCGCCCTCCGGCAGATCCGCCCGGCGCCGGGGAGGGGCGCCAAGAGCATGCTCGCCCGCTCGCCGCCGCTTCTCCCCTTCGCTCCCTGCTCCTCGCGGGCGCTGGGGCGCGGCTGCAGCTGGTCTGGCAATACTACTACTACGCAGAAGAGCCTGGGAGAGGGGCTGGAACTGGAACAGTTGCAGCCGCCTTGCAGGGAGGGAGAAGCGCCCCTCTGCTTGCTGCTCTGGTATGCTTTCGCTCCCTTGCTTGCTCGCTCGTCTCGTTGCTTGCTTCCTCCCCTCGGTCTCGCTCGCTCGCTCCGGCTGGCCGCTGCTGCTCCCAAGTTTGTTCTCGGGGTTTTAACCCCACCCCACGAGTGGTGCTCCTCTTTTTCAGCTTTGCTCTTGCTCCGGTGCTCCCCCTTCTCTCTCCTCCCTTGTTGTCAATTCTCTGTGTCCTTGCTTCCTTACCACTCGGCTCTACTACTACTACTCCTCGCCTAGTACGGCGGCTACTGGTTCAGTGCCTCTGCCTGCGCCTGCGCGCGACGTGCAATCGCACATGTACAGTGCTCCGCGTGCCGCACCCCCAAGGGCCATAGGCCCCAACCTTCCTGACCTCCCCTCACGTCCTCATCGCTCGGTCGGTCCTCTCTTGGCTCGTGGCTTACTAGTATGCTGATGCTGATGCTTGATTGGGAGGTGCTTAGCCAAACTGATCCCGCATTTATGCCTGACCTGGTACGGAAGCACGATTAGCACTGTGGGAACTCTGTGTCACTACTACAAACACAGCTGGGACTGCTACCGGAACCGGATGCTGTTGGCAAGGACTACTGTACGGAAGCACGATTAGCCTGTTCGTTTGATCATGTTTGGCTTATAAGTCATGATTGAAAGTACTGCTGACTAATTTAACGTGAAAAAAAAATACTAAAAATAAGCTAAATAAGTCTAAACAAACATGGCAGGAGTGACGCGCAGGCATCCAGATCCAGGCAATGGCAAGCAGACGCTGCAGCAGTTTGCAGTGAGCGCGCGTTTAGTTCGCGAAAAGTGCGAAATTTGGCTACTGTAGCAATTTCGTTTTTATTTGGTAATTAGTGTTCAATCATGGACTAATTAGACTCAAAATGTTCGTCTCGCAATTTCCAACAAAACTGTGTAATTAGTTTTTATTTTCGTCTACATTTAATGCTCCATGCACGTACCGCAAGATTCGATGTGACGTGTACTGTAGCACTTTTTGGGAAAACTTTTTGCAAACTAAACAAGGGCTGAGTTTTGACCGCGCGCCTAGGTGACGGTGACGCCCTGCTCATTCAACCAGCCGGCGCAAGCAGTTGGCAAGCGTAGGGAGTGCAGGTGCAGTCCTACTCCTACGAGTACTCGCTCTCAGTCTCCCCTTCTACCAACTTTGCCCCTCTAAAGTTTACACAGTATAAGATTCTTCATTACGTCACATCAAATCTTTAACATATGCATAGAGCATTAAATATAAATAAAAAAATAACTAATTACACAGTTTGATTATACTTTACGAGACGAACGTTTTAAGTCTAATTAGTTAACGGTTGACGATTATTATCAAATATAAACGAAAATGCTACGGTATTCCTTTTTGGATTTGTAAAGTTTGGGCAATTGGGTACCGTTTAGTTCCACTTCAAAATACTAAATTTTTCAAGATTCTTCGTCACATCGAATCTTTAGACGCATTCATAAAGCATTAAATATAAATAAAAAATAAAACTAATTACACAGTTTAGACAAAATCTACGAGATGAATCTTTTAAATCTAATTAAACTATAATTAAACACTAATTATTAAATAACATCGAAAACTACTGCAGTTTTATTTTACAAAAAAATTCGGCATCTGGCCCATGAAAATACGGAGCGAGGCTGGAGTACGTACCTGCACCTGTACCTGTAGGAGTAGTAAATTTTGATTGGACTGGTGACTGGCTGTATAGTCGTACTAAAATTAAATTCACCGACACCAACTCCACAGACGAGTGACGACGATCCGTCCATCCATCCATGCACCCGTGTCTGACGCCGTGTTTAGTTCTAAAATATTTTTTCAACAAGGGCTGCAGTACCCATACCCATCGATGGGATCTTGATACGTGGATAAAGTATTAAATGTAAACGAAAAAAAAATTATACAATTTAATTGAATAAACATTTTAAGCTTAATTAGTTCACGATTGAACACTAATTGTTAAATAAAAACGAAAGTATTACGGTAGCCCAAATTCTAAACTTCACTCCGCTAAACCCGCGCTGAAGCCCTGAACTCAGCACCGAACCTGCTGCTAGCTGCAGCTAGCACTGCAGCAAGGGCCTGTTTAGTTCAAAAAAAATTTTACGCAGTATCTGTCACATCGAAATTTACGGCACATGTATAGAGTATGTACTAAATGTAGACGAAAAAAAACTAACTACATAGTTGAGCGAGAAATCACGAGACGAAACTTTCGAACCTAATTAGTCCATAATTAGACACTAATTATCAAATACAAATGAAAGTGCTACGGTAGCCAAAATCCAAAAAAATTTGGATCTAAACGCACCCTAACCAAAAAAAAACATGTGGTGGTGAGGGGGGAAACGACTGCAACGGAACTGTTCCTGTCAGCCAACAGTTGAAGACGGAGGCGTCCAGGAGCGAGACCGTCGCCGCCACGGCGTATTGTACGTACGCGCGCGCGTCCTCGGCCTATACGACGATACGAGGACGTACAGGGATGCGTCGGCAGCTCCTCTCGTTTTCCTGCGCGCGACAGCAACCGCTGCCGCCATCGATCCGTCGGGCTCGAGGCTCCGGGGCGGAACCTGACTGGGAGCTCCTGCTCGTCCATCCCCTCCTGGCGATAGCTCTACCTGGGGAATCTTCTTCTTTTCCTTTTTTTTAAAAAATATATAAGAATATAAATAAAATTCCAATCTACTAGTATATGCGCTAGCGTGGGGCGTGGCATCGGCCCGTGCCCGTGCCCGTGACGATGCGTGCGAGTGCGAGTGCGAGCGCGCGGTTCGTGCAGTGCAGTGCAGGAAGCAACAGCCACCCCTGCCCTTCCCCGGCCGCTCACGGCTCACGCCTTCCGCGCCGCGGTACGCGGTGACGGCACACACACGGCCGGGCGGCGGGCGCTGACGGCAGCCGCGCGCGCACACGTACGTCCGTCCTCGCTCGATCGCTTGCTTGCCGGAGGAATGGATCGGAGCATGCCCCCACTTGGCGTTCGGACAGAGGAACCCGCCGCCCTCTTGCCGGCCGGTGGGCAACGGCAACGGCAACGGCAACGGCATGCATGCCGCATACTCCGTATATGCTTCGGAACGAACCCACTCGGCCGGCGAGCCAATCTATCACTGCTTGCCGCGGTGCTGACGGCGTCCATCCCCAGCAGCCCCGGCCCCCGGGGGTGTCGGCGTCGGCCGGCTGCTACAGTCTGGCGCCGACGACAAGGATACGGCTGCGGCCGGCCTGCTACAGTCCAAGGGACATGTGCCGACTGGTATGCATGGTACGGTGGCCCGTGGGCAACGGCCAGGCCGGGGCGGCACCGCGCATGAGTGGTGACGAAAGCGTCGTCCGTTGGGACGGAGGTCGTCGGTCCGGACGGCTGACCCGTTCGTCTTCGGGCGTTTTACGAGCTCTACCTGAGAGTAGATAGATAGGCGACGAACGTTTGGCGTTTCGTGTTGCTTTCAGGGACGTTGGATGGATGGCTGCTCGCTCTCATCAGCGCAGAGGCAGCCACAATGAGTGGAAATGAATGTCGTCTACGATCATACAGTAGGTTAGTACGACGGCAAGCTTTTGTACCGGGGACGGATCTTGCACGTGGTGTACCGTACGTAGCTTGCTTATACTCTTAACACTATCTACTCAGAGTCCGTCCGCTGAGACTGAGCAGTGCAGTGGTACTCTGTAATTCTTTTTTTTAGTTTTTTAGATGTCAAACAAAATAAAGTTTAATCAAAACTATATAAAAATACTATATAGAGCACTGTTTATCTACTATAGTGAGGAGCCATGATAGCAGTGATCGGCTATGGGTCTGTTCAGCCGGTACATAAGCCGGCTGGTTTCACCTGATTCCACAGTGTTCTGCATGTCTGCGTGGCATTGCGGGGCACTGCAAGACGGTGCTCGTTAGCGGTCAGGATTCGATCACAATGTGTTTCACAAAACGACATAAAAAAATGGACTGTGGCTCCGTGGGAGAGCTAGTGAAGTTACCATTTTTAGTTTTCCCGACTCTAACATCTGGACTCCTGTAGCAAGAAGTTGGTTTATGGTTTGTGACTTGTGAGGAGCCCCTCCCAAGCAAAGCCTTAATAATAACCTTCCGGCTAAATAGGTAGGAAAAAAATTAGGCCATCCATTAGATAAGATCGGACGGTAGAAAAATATGAAGTACCCAACTAAAAGTGAGGTATCAAATAGGTAGTTATAGTACCAAAATAGGTGGGACCAAATCCTAATTTTTGTTAATT